GTCTATAAATAGTTCAAGGTCTGTTTGTTGGCCTTTACAAGTGTTTTCCAGTCAAGTCTGATGGGGTGTCACACTCTGTCTCCCAGTCTAATTTTTGTATTCCCCGGGACATTCAAAAGGGAAAAAGATGTGTTGAAAAGCCTCCTTTGCCTCTCTTCCAACCACCGAGCTTTCCTCCCCAGAGGCAACCATTGCTATCAGGCTCTTGGGTGTACTTCCAAAAATGTTCCGTCATTTACAAAGGTCTGAGGGGCCTTCAAAATGTTCGTGGAAATTTTTTGTTATATTTTAATTCAATTTTGCCATGAACGTTTTGAAGCCTCCTTGTTATATGTATTCCAAACTGTGCTGAAGGTGTTTGCCAAACACAGGGATGGAGTATAAAGGAACTGTTTCAACAGGCTGATAATGTATGTGATGTGCTCACTTGTCTGGAAGGCATCTACGTGGCAACTGAGTGAAAGAAATCTATATTGGTACCCATTCCAAAGAAAAGCGATCCAACAGAATGCTCAAATTATAGAGCAGTATTGATATCAAATGCAAGTAAAATTTTGCTGCTGATATTTCAACAGTTGCAGCAGTACATTGACAGGACACTGCCAGAAATTCAAGCCAGATTCAGAAGAGATGTGGAACCAAGGGATATCATTGCAGATGTCAGATGGGTCTTAGCTCAAAGCAGAGAGTACTAGGAGATGTTTATGTTACTGACTGTGGCAAGGCATTTGCTGTGTGGATCATAATAAATTGTGGCCAGCCTAAAGAAGAATGGGAATTCCAGAACACTTCGTTGGACTTCTGTGGAACCTGCACAAGGATCAAGAGGCAGTTGTGTAAACAAGGGCATACTGCATGGTTTAAAATCAATCTTATGCATCTGCATTGTATCCTCTCACCATACTTATCCAATCTGAATGCCGAACAAATCAGAGAAGCTGACTTACCTGAAGAATGCAGCAGCATCAGGTTTGGAGGAAGGCTTATTATGTGCAGGTGACGTAACTTCGCTTGCTGAAAGCGAGGAGGCCGTTTGAAGCACTTGCCGATGAAGATCAAGAACTGCAGCCTTCAGTGTGGATTACATCTCGAAGTAAAGAAGACCAGAAACCTCACGACTGAACCAAGAGGTAGCCTCATGGTAAATGGAGAAAAGATTGAAATCGAGGGTTTTGTCTTGCTTGGATCCGTAAAGAATGTTCATGGAAGCAGCAGTCGAGATCAAATGATGCATTGCATCGGTAAACTTGCACAAGACCTCTTTAAAGTATTGAAGAGCAATGTGCTACTTTGAGGCCTACGGTGAGCCGATGCGAGCCTTGGTATTTTCAGTTGCCTGATGTGCATGTGATCGTTGGGCACTGACTGAGGAAGAGTGCAGAAGAGTCGATGTATTTGAATTACGGTGCTGGCGAAGACATGGACTGCCAAAGGAACCACCAAGTCTGTCTTGGACGAAGTCCAGGCAGAATGCTCCTACAAAGCAAGGGTGGCGAGACCTTGTCTCAGTACTTTGGGCATGTGATCAGCAGACCTGGGCAAGAACACCATGTTGGTAGGGAGGCAGTGGAAAAGAGGGAGATGGACCCCAGTGGATGCAACCGTGGACCCAAGCATAGCAGTTGTGAGGATGGCGGAAGGCACACGGATGGGGCCAGTGTTTTGTTCTTGTTACACAGGGCTGCCGAGTCGGACCTGACAAGAATGGGGTATGTATCTGTGGTGCTGTCAGGTAGCATTGGACTGACAACTGCAAGGTCAGTGGTTAAAGCCCCTTAACCACTCCATGGGAGAAAGATGGGGCTCTTTGACCCTGTAAAGATTTATAGCCTCAGAAACTTGTTGATTGAGGGCTTTATCTATCCTGGATTCCCTGTGTTTCGGGCTCTTGTCTGTAGCAGTGTGCATGTTCTGGTCTTATCCAATTTGTAAGGTAGAATTGAGGTCATGATAGTGGGGGGGAGAAAGCACCAAAGAGCTAGAGGAAAGTTGTGTGTTTCATCGGTGCTGTACTGCACCCTGACTGGCTCATCTCTTCCCTGTGACCCCTCTGTGAGGGCATGTCCAACTGTCTACAGATGGGCTTTGGGTCTCCACTCCGCACTCTCATTCACAATGATACGATTTTTTGTGCCTGATACCTGATCGCATCGACACCTCGTGATCTTATCCTATTTTCACACACGAGTAGGCCTCGTGGTATTCATCCTCAACTTTCCCCAGGCATGTGGTGGTTGTCGGTGTAACAGGTAGGTCTCTGGTAGGTCTCTGGTCCGTTTTGAGTTGTTTGTGCTCCGTTTGAGCTACGGGCAAGTTTGTCTCCACGTGGGGTCTTCCATTTCTTCCTGCGTTGGGCTCACCATCTCTGCCCGTTTTCTATGTGTGCGCTTTGCTTTCACAAGCATTCCGTGCCGCAGGTGGAACATTCCCCGCGTGTTCTGCGAGCCTGGGCCCCACGGGCACGTGTCCGCTCTGTGTTCTGCTTTTGCTTGTTCCCCCTCCTCTTGTTCTACTAAGGGATTGCGGTTTTGTTGGACTTGGACCACTTTGTTGTTATTTTTATTTTTTTACTTTACATTTTGCATTCTAGATTTTTTTTTGTTGCATGGGGCTATTTTGGGGTGGCACAGTGGCCAGCTCCCCCCCCCCCCCCCCCCCCCCCCCCCCGTTGTCCACGGAAAGTGTGGAGACTGCGTTCAGGGGAGAAAGCTGCAGCAGTCTGACTTGGCAGCCTTCGAAACCCTGATGGGCAGCTTCACCCTGCACCACAGGGAGTCTCCCTGTGACTCCGACGCAACCCAAGACGGCAAGCCCGGCATCTTCTCCTGGGAACCACAGAACCAAACTCCCAGCTGTCCAACGGATTCAAACTCATAGCAACCCCATGGGACAGGGTAGCACTGCCCCTGTGGGGTTCTGAGGAGGTAACCGTGTACCTGAGTAGGCTGCTTGATCTCTGGAGTTTCATATGCATGTACAGGGGCGGACCTGACTCAGCTGGTCACAGCTGTTGCCATACTGGTAGAGCTCACCTTTCCTCTGGCATGTGCTCATGGGCACCTGTGCCCTGGCTCCCCCAGTGTCTCCTGTCGCAGTACGGGCAGTCCTGAGCCATTTCCCTGCTCCTCTAAAGTATTTCCTGTATCCTGGTGCCATTGTAAGGACCCCCTGGTGGTGTAGGAGTTACACATTGGGCTGCTAACTTCAAGGTCAGCAGTTTGAAGCCACTGGCTGCCTCTTGGGAGAAAGATGGGGCTTTGTACAGTCAGTCTTGGACACTCACAGGGTCAGTTCCACCCTGCCCCGCGGGCCTGCTAGGAGTCAGCATCAGCTATTGTGAGGTTTTGTTTGATTTTAATGCCATTGGAATTCTACCTCATCCTAATGCCCATCTGTCTTGGGCCTTAGAAAGTGAGACTCAGCCCCTTTCTCTCTCTCTCCAGACCACTATCTCCCTTTACCCTCTCAGTTACACGGCCTGCGGACACCCACGGGATGCCCTGCTGTAAGCAGTCAGGCTGCCGCTTCCTCTGACCTTCTCGGTGTCCCTGTGTGCCGATTGCCCAGCCCTGTCCCACATGGCTGTGAAGAGGAGTACTTGCTCTCAGCGGGAGGGGGTGGATTCTCCCTGCTTCTGTGTGTCCCAGTCCTCCCCTCCTTGGCTTCTCAACCCTCCCTCCTCCGCTGCTGCCCAGAGTTCTGAGATGTGGTGTGCGCGTTATTTGTCCCTTTGTGGGGTAGTTGTCGGGGTCACAGGGAGCACCCCTCCCCTCTCCATAGAAAACTGCCTCTGAGGTGGCGGTTCCGGTGTGCACTCTCACCGGCTTCCCACTGCATCCCATCCTTGTCTGCATTTGGCGATGTTCGTTTGGGATTTCAATAGTTACGTCATGGTTTCCCATTATTTTGGTGCATTAATTCTTCAGTGGCACCATCGCCAGCATTTTTCACGTTTATTTTCGGACATCTTTCTATCTTTGGTGAGGTGACTATTCTGATGTTTTGCCCATTTTTTTTCAGTTGGATTTTTCTCATTGTTGACCTTTATAAGTTCTTTGTACATCTTTATTTTAATCCTTTTATTGGGGGCTCTTACAGTTCTTATAACAATCCATACATTAATTGTATCAAGCACATTTGTACATATGTTGCCATCATTTCCAAAACTGTCTTGTAATTTTAATGAAGTCTAACTTAACTATATGCTTCCTTTTTGATATATCCACAATCATCATTAAGCCTGATGCTGTCTAGATGTTATCCTATACTACTGTCTTTTAGAAGTTATATGGTCTTGTGTCAAAAACATTCATGGTTCTAATCCATTCTGAGTTAGTTTTTTTGGTGAAAGATGTAAGTTCTGTGTCTAGATGATGTCACTTGGATGTTCAATTTCAGCTCCATGTGTTGAAAACACCTTCCATTATCAAATTCCCTTTGCTCCTTTGTCAAAGGTCAGTTGCCTTTGTTTGCGTGACCCGTTCCTGGCTTCTTAGTTCTGTCATTCCTGGCTTCTTAGTTCTGTCGCACGGCTCCCTTGGCACCTTTGCCCATGTGCCCTGGCGTGATGGCTGTCGCTTCCTAGTGAGTCAGGAAGTTGTGTCGACCCTCCAACTCTATGCATGTAATGTTTGTACGTAAGTTGAATACATTGTTTCTATTTCTACTTCAGCATATGAGGGGGCTTCATAAAGTTTGTGAGGAAATTTAATTAAAAGATAAAACTGGAGAACATTGTGCTTAGCAGACTTGGTCAATCGTACAGATAAATATTTAATCACACCACTATTCTAAAGAAAACAGAGAAATGTGGTTTGTACACCCATAGGACAAGACTTTGATGACTATGAGGAGGCGGTCAGGGATGGGGGAGGAACAGGGAGAGGGGAAGATTAGGAGATTGTGGAGTTGGGGGAGGGAAGACCCCGGATGTGGAAGGTTTAGAAAGATATTGTTGGTTTCATTTCTTGGAGATAGGCTGCGTAAACATATGTATTGTGTTTCTTTAAAAACCAAAAAAATTCCTGCAGATTCCTTATCCCCCAAATGTAAATAGTGGTCTTAGTGATTTTTTTAAAGGAAAATTAAAATCCAAATGGACTTGAACTTGTCACAAGGAATTCCAGCTCCCCCTTTCCTCCCTCCCCCCAAAAAAAGGATTGTGAAGTTTTCCCATGGACATCACAGAACCCTGTCAAATGTGTTCCAAGAGCAAGGATCTCTTTCTTACATAACTACAGAATAACCATCACAGGAAAGTGAAACTCTGGGCCTCGGTTCACATGGAAGGTCTATCACTCGTCTGCACTAGTTTTAAATTCTTGGTGTAGGACTCGCTCCAGCATCGCACCGTGCACTTTGTTGTCAGCACTGTTCTCCTTGCACCTGGAACTGCTCTGCCCGGCCATTCATTGCCTTATTTGCTCTTGGCATTTCTGCAGAATAATTGATAATTAATTACCATATCGAGTGTCCCGCAGCCTGGGCTTGTCTGTCTGCAGGGCATTAGTTGATACAGGGCATGCACTTTAAAGAGTCCCAGCGCAGGGGCATTTCTTTTTCAGTGCCACCTATCCGGCAGGTGGTGGGGAGGGTAGGTGCCATCACGTGGGTTCTGACTACTCATGGTGACCCCTTGTACAAGAGAACAACCCTGCCCGGTCCTTGATCATCCTCACAGTTGGGTGAGCCCATGGTTGTAGCCACTGTTTGAATCCGTCCCCCCAGAGTCCCGTCTGTCTCCTCTTTCCTGCCCTCTGCTGTACCAAATGGCCCAAGGATGTGAGATCAAAGTCTTGCCATGCAAGGAGCGTTCTGGCTCCACTCCCTCCAGGACAGATTTGCTTGTTCCTGGCAGTCCATGGCACTTCAGTCTTCAGTGCCAACACCATAATTCACACTTATCCTCTCTTCCTGCCTTCAGTAGTCAGTAGTCTAGCGCGCATATGCAGATGAGGCAATTGAAAGTATCGGGTTTGGTTATGCTTTGGCCAGAACAGATCCTGCTTCGGCATCTTTTTAAAAAGAAGTGTTTAGGGTGTGGCTTACAGAGTGCAGCAAAGAGCAGGAGCTCACTGAGAACACACCATGGGTTGTGGGGGAGGAGGAGAATACCGGATGATGGTTAGGCATTCATTAAGAATGTAAAGGAGGGAGAAACCATTGTAGAGGGGGAGAGATTGTTTTGCTAAACCCACGAGGACAATGTCCAAACAGGAAGCTCAGCTTCATGGTGGGTTTGCCGGGAATCATTCCAGAATAGAGCATCTGGAGTCGGAAGACCTGGCCAGATTCCCTGCAGTGGTGTTTGGGTTCATGTCTCCAGCCATGGTCGTCATCAGCACGCCGAACTCCGAATTCAACCCGCTTTTCCCAGCCGTGACCTTGAGGGACTCTGACCACAAATTCGAGTGGAACAGAAGGCAGTTTCAGACCTGGTGAGCTTGCATGTCTGCTGATGGATCCCGAGAATTGAGAGCCTCCTAGACAGTGGTTTTTTGTTTTAAAGATTAGTAAGTAAATCTTGATGTGTATTCATTACCCAAAATGTTGCTTTTTTCATTTCTCTCAATGACATTGACTCCCCAATTCGTCATTCTTCTTTACCCCGTTAACTTTTCTTGAGCTCAGATTACAAAAGAGCCTTCACGTGGGCGCAGTAGGAGGGGAGGTTTGTTCCGAGACAGGTTTGGCACCAGCCACTTTTGAGGTGAACGCACCTGGAGTGTTGCCACAGAATGGGAGGTGCAGGGCTGCCATGGGGAGGGCCATGCCTTTGTCCAGGGGTGGCCCACCTGGGTGCCACAGCGGGCTAGGTTTCTTACGTAATTCCAAGTAGTTGGGGGCCTTTGTGGTCTCTCTAGTGTTTCCTCCCCCTGCCTGCTAGCTTCCCTTTTCTCCACCGCACTCGGTGCTTCCTACGAAACCAAACCGAGCCCTGGCCTGAGTGCTCCCCTCAGGAAATGCTGCAACCCCCGTGCATGCCGTGCCCGGGGCTGGTGTGGGAAAGGATGGGTTAGGAATTACAGCGTTGTTGTTGGCATTCTATTGACTAGAAATGGTTTCTGATAATACTTATAAAATATTTTACGTTTAATATCTTGGTGGGAAAAAAATCATGTCCTAGCTTTGTTGTAAGGTCAAAAGCATGAATTTCCCCTTGTGGCTTCAGGGCTCTGGAGGTGGCGCATCGCTACGGTTACTCCGTGAATTTCACCGGTGTCGGAGAGCCTCCTGATGGATGTGAGCATGTTGGCTACTGCACCCAGATAGGCATCTTCAGGAAAAGCCTCACGAAGGAGGCCGAGCTTTGCATCCCGGAGCAGCAGGAGGAACATGCTTATGACGTCGTGAGTGTATTTGTGGGTGTGAGTGAGAGAGAGAGAGAGAGACCAAGGGTGTGCCTGCGCACGGGAGAGTGCTATTGGGGCAAGCAGGATACATCTGGTGTGAACGGTTTCTTGCCAAAAGTTTCCCAAATAGAGGTGAATGTAAACACATCTTTTTGCCCTAGGAAAATCCTTGGGCTCCATGACTGGTGTGGCAGCAGCTGGTCTTCTCAGTGTGATGTGGGTGAAAGTTGACAGGACAAATTCGTTACCTGGGCCTTTGGGTTGAAAGTTGAGTCAGAGGATTAGCAGTGGCTCCTGCAGCAGCCCTGGGGCTCCCGGGCCTTTGGCGGTGTCCAGAGCATGTATGACAGCAAGTAACCGTGTGCTGGGGGGCCCAGCCCCCCGAGCTGGGCAGTGCCAGTAGCCCCCCTTTTACAGGACAGAGGGGAGCCAGTCGGATTCCTCCTCAACTTGGCTCCGGAAGTGACTGTTTGGACTTGAGCCTCTGCATTTGTCAGGCCTGTTTGGTTTAAGGGTCTGGGGTGGGGGTGGGTGGGGGAGAAGAAACACCGTTTCTCTAAGTGAAGGGACCCTTCGCCATCTAGCCCTTTCTCCTTGAGAGCAAGCGGAGACTGGGGTTGGCGTGGTTTGGTTGAAGGCTGGCCGGGAGCTCGAGGTTACACTTCTCTTCGTTAGACTGTTGAAAGCCAATCAGCTAGTGTCCGTCCGCGCTTTGTCTCCCATCAGTATTGTAGCTCTTAAGATCAGTAGGTTTGACGTACACACAGAAGGCACACGCAGTTCTTATGTGGCACAATCAAGGTTGGCGGTTGGTTTTGAAGTTTGCCATCTTGTCAGCTGGTTGGGTTTTGATCCTCGTTGCCCCTTTCAGGTTTATACCACCACCTACCCGAGTTTGCAGCAGCCGAAGTACCGCCAGTATGCCGTGGTCAATGAAGTGGTCTCCCAGGTCGACAACATGCGGAGGGATCTGCTGGAGAGCCTGAAGCCGCAGGACAACCGGGACTTCATGGGGCTGCCCCAGGACACCGGCCGCCCAGGGCCTCCCGTCCAGTGTTTCCCCTCTGTCCTCGCGCAGTTAACAGCCAGCCTAGAGAAGACGCCCAAGCCCTTTTGTGTGGGGAATGTGTTCTATGTGCCCCTGGAAAGACTCTTCTCCCTGCCCAAAGTGAAGCACCTGTGCATCAACATAGAGATGCTGAGAACGCTGCTCGCCGACGCGGTGATGCTCAACAGCGACGGCTCCGCAGTGATGGTCGCCATGCAGGAGCAGGACCAGGATGAGTGAGCGTCCAGGCTCCTCGAATGCTGGGCCCAGCTGTTGGGCTCACAGGTTCCGTCTTCTGTGAGTGTGTGCGTAGTCAACATTGAGGCAGCTCTCTCTCTTGAGTACGAAGTTCTCCCAACACCACTGGCCGCCGGCGCTGGACTTCTGTGCAGCCAGGCTGTTTGCTGTCCCCCTGAACAAGATGTTCAGGTGGACCCCCAAATGGTGTACTTTTCTTTGTCATTTAGATGTTTCCTCCATGTTTCCTCAAGAATGAAGAAAGTGGACGTGGTAATAGCTTACGGACCGTTAATTTAGAATTTATCTACTGAACCCTGGTTTGGGGGTTTGTTTTTTATATGCTTTTTTGGGAGGACAGGGTAGGAAGTTCATAATGTGTGCGTTCATTGGCATATTTTTTGTTACAACCATATGCATAATGTGACATTAAATACTTGAAAGAAAATGGTGTTATCTAATTGTGCTCACAACCTTTTTGCAGGGGTGAGAGTAGCTTCTAAATTAGTTTAAAAGGACTATATGGGATTCAGTTTTAACCTCTGTACTTTTAGTCAAAAACTGCCTGTGAAACAAAGGCACTGATGTTTTGGCAGAAAGCTGCTTCCTGCTCAGCCTCCTGGCTGTATTTTGGAAGCACCCTGTACCCCAGGAGCTTCCTGGTTGGGTTAAAGGTGATTGTTGTGGCAACAGAGCTTCAGCCAGCAAGGATTGGTGGGTGTGGGTGGGGTGGCGGCATGGTGGCACACGGGCTCTTTCTGAGGTAGCGAAGTCCACAGGTGAGCAGATCAGGTAAGCAGGGCTCAGGGGCCCCAGGACCCAGCTTTCTGTTGTAACATAGTATGCCCACTCGGGGAGTGAGCTCAAGCTATTGCTTGTGTATTTCATAATCCAACCAGCATCGAGGAGAGTTTTTTTTAAAGGTGGTAGAACCAAGGACTTGTGCTTGGCTACCTGGTAAGGTAGCTTCCTGAAAGTTGCACCACAGCGCTACTGACTGGTCCACTCCTGGCTACCTGTGGCAGCAAGGTAAGTTGGGAAGTGTAGTCTTAATTCCAGGAAGCCCTGTGCCCATTGGGTGGTCATTTGCCAAAAAAAAGACAGAAAAAGGCAGCTAGCCCCATCTGAATACCAGGAGGTACCTTCTCACTACTCCATCACCCCTGCCCCCCACTACAGGCCCTCTGTCCCCACCTTGAGAGACCTCTGCACAACCCTTACCCCAGGGGTTTCCTTCTCACTTCTCTGCTGTTAGAGCCATGGCTTCCGGCCAGTCAGCCTCCTCCTGCCCTTCTCAATCAAGTCACTTCAACCCCTCCCCACCTACTCTTACCCCCACCCCCCTACACTGTACACCCTACACACACACACACACCACACACGCCACACGCACACCACTCCCACCCCTACCTTCAAAGTCTTGACAGCT